ATGTTACAAACCTATTTTCACAAATCTGCAACAAAAAAATATTACTATTCTTACAGATAGACGCATGATTCATAGTATTTGTCTTGAATGTTCTACTATTAGAGCCGAAGAAAGAAATAATGTTTCTTAGATAAAAGCTTCACAGGATACTAAATCCTCTGATATGATTGAAGCATCTATTATAAAAGAACAAGAAGCCTTAGAACCTATTTCTTATCTGAAAAATAGTACTTTACATAATAACTCACAAAGTGATTTAAGATAGCGTTCTCGAAGAAACTACCTACCCCTTAAAACCAGTTCTATTGAGAATGATTTAATATCTGACTCCAATATCAAACAGCAAACTTGAGACATTACTAATTTGCAGGATGTGTATTCTATTGAAGATATTTCTTCTGAAAAAGCTCTATTAGAGGATAGAGAGATGAATGCTTTCTTGGACGGAGAATACAAAAAAAAGGTTAGTAATGAAATCAGGCAAAGAAATAGGGAAAAAAGCTTTGAGACTTAGATTTACCTAGTACTTCTAATATCCTTTCATCAGAATCATCTATAAGTTCACATCCTATCTCTAATAACCCTGTCTTATCAGAACAAAATGCTAAAATAAAAGCACCTGAAATAGATATACAGCCCTTGATATAAGAATTGCTTATAGAACCTTTGGAAAAAGATTGTGTTAAGGTTGTTAATGTGGAGGAGAATACTGCTGTTGATCAATCACCTGCAATTAAATTAGCCTACCTATATGAAAAATGAAATTTGCTAAAATTAGAACTATACGAGCCAAACAAGATAATATCATGAGCTGGTATTGCTATAGAAAGTATTTTGAAAGAAGACATAGTGAAATTTTATCTGGAATCCTAAAGAATGAACTTATTACGAATAAAAAAGCCTATGAACTTGCGATTGGCAAATTTATGATGAAATGCTACAGTATCTTTTAGGAGTCTCTCATGTAAACTTGCGCAAAAAAATTCAGCTAACTAAGCCTATATATATATTATTTAGCGAAATTAGAGAAGATAAGATTATGTGAATCAAAACTTATAGTGCAAATAAACTCTCAAAGTTAACTAACACGCAAATCGATACTATTAAAAAACATTTTACAACACTACGTGAAAAAAATTCACGTACTCACGTGACTTCAGAAATGATTACTAGTGATGCAAGATATACAACTGCACCTTCCAAATCTAAAGTAAGAATTCTAACTGCACCTGCTAATTCTTTAGATCTGATCAATTCACCGGTCATCCTATATGATACTTGTGCTTCCTATATCAACATGGTATTAAAAGAATATTCTTATCTATTATTATACCATAGTGATGAATGTAATGATAGGTATGAATTTAAGAGTTCAGGCTCATGTTCAGGGTGTGAGAATGAGCATAGTAAAAGGAAGGTAGTTGGCTGATGCATAAAGGGTTCTTACTATATTAAGTACTGATCCTCATCGAATGAAAAAGAAATCAAAATAAATGCTTTATCAAAAATGATTTCATCAGACATGTCTCAAGCAAATGTATCAAAGGCACAAACCTAATCTAAGCAAACTTACGATCGCATCTATTTTCGTAATAAAAGGATTGGCGTTCCTAGTTTAGTTAGTAACAACTGAGCTCCTATTGTAGGTTACACTGCAATAGTCACAGGTTCAGGCCTCAGCCGAGGCATAAACTAGATGATTTTCATAAGAATTTCATATGTAACTAAACACGTGAGCATTTAGACTAATAAATGTTAGATACTGGTCGATCGATCCATCGATTGACGTTAATCATGTCTAAATACTGGGTTTGAAAAATAAGTAGATGCAAATGAAGCCAGAGATCGACAGAAACTTGGTCTTCGCTGATAGGTCTGTAATGGATACTGTCTCACGTCTTCAAATTCAGGGGCTCTTACATAAGTAAGGAAGTGATTAACCAGTAATTAGTAGATTAGGTACCTCCTTCGGGTAGGCTATGGTGATAATAGACTGCATTACACGCCGCAGCACCATCCAATCGAACTATCATTAGGGGTAGAGGCTGGGTTCGATTCCCAGGTGAATTTGACGTTATGGGTACAAAACCACCATCTATGTAAAGAATCCGATCTCACGGTCTCAGTAATCATCAATAGGGTAAAACCCTATAAATTAGATTAGTAAAAATAGGATGTGACAAGCTCTATGGTTGAAGTGAACCCTCTATCCAAAGATGATAGTACCTGACAGTCTAGTGAGCTTATAATTGCGGGTATAGCTGTTATAGGTGGTCTAACTAGGTGGCAACTAACAGGGATGTGCTTCTAGTGCTGGGTTGCCATACCTCTTAACTGAGGATTGGACTTAAAAGGCTAGCTTTGAAGGTTACATTAACTTGGTTAACAGGTTTTCCTTTAGCGGGGCCTTAAGCCAGCGTACATTAATAGAAAAAAAAAAAAAAAAAATATATTTTCGTAATAAAATATTAGATCAATATCCTAATCTATATAGAGAAGGTAGTAGTGAAAATTTTGATTATTATGGGATTATTGATGAGATATCATGCAGGACTACATCTGCCTATTATGCAAATTAGGTCATGATGATGAAGAAATAGAAGGTAAGTATAAAGTCGAATCTTACTTTATTAAATGTGAACAGCGTGAAATTGAAATAACTGCATAAGTCTGGTTACTTTGGCCAGATACGTCCCCTATATTTGCTCACGCTTCATTGTGATATTTTTTTACAGGGCTAATTTATATTGATTATCACCTACTGTAATTTAAATTGATTTGCGATCATATAAAACAGCAACATGACTAAGTCCGATAAAGTATTAACCCTAAGTATTTGGATTGGCATGCTAAATTAAGTGGGTTACCAAGCGTTTTGACAGATAAAATTCATATTAATTTATATAAAAGATATAAAAAAGAAACTGGAAATGAGCCATGGCAAGCCATGATAATTATATCAGAAAAACCTCAAGTCTCTAATTTCAAGCCTATCACTTTTAAAGCCAAACCTGATCCAGAATTAATTATCAAATCTGTTTTATAGCACTTCACATACTTGAAATTCTAAAATAGCTATAGGGGATCGATAATTATAATTTTGCATTACTTCAGCTATGGAGTTCATCATACCTTATTTGCAATGGAAAACATGGGAATTATGAATTACATGACGAATGGTATAGAACAGAATATTGTCTTACTTGCTTTACTTCAAGCAATAAACTTAAATTCGCAATTATAGCATAGACCAGTTATGTGGCCGATCATCTGAAATACGTAGTATAATATTGGAGAAATTTTTGCCAGCCTTCCTATTCATAGTCGGTTAAAATTACCAGAGGTAATGGATTATAGACTTTTTTGCGATGAGATCTATTCTTTATTAATTAGTTGAGAATTCACGTATATCATATGATTAGCCAATAGATTCTGTTTCTATTGGTTGAAAGTGTGGAGAGCCTTTATGATTATCATATGACATAGCATGTGAAAAATTTTTTATTTTATATATTTGAAAAAAAGAAAAACCAACAGAATATACTATTGGAAAAAGCTATTAAGTAAGTTATCTTTCGCAGATTGACAGATCAAGGGAGGGGCAGAACTATTTTGAAAAATGGCATATATTTAAGGGATAAAAGCATGGTTGTAAAGTTTGTGAGGAATGCAATCAAAAGATGTAAGAAGGTAGTGGAAGGAATATATAAGTGATGTAAATGTCCTCGAGTCCACTCACAATTCGTGGTCAAAAAATTTGTGTAATTCTGATCGTTCCTCAAGGGAACTGTTTTCAAAGATTATATGATGATTTGATGGTATAGGTTACACCTATGATGCAATGTGGTTGATAATGTGATAGATTCGTGCAATATAATATATTTTTTCTCAACGATCAATAAAGCAAAGGCACAATTAGCGCAATTAATTTACCAGACATTATATTTTTTTCATATGGTGTCGGTTGAGGGATTGAGAGAATTGTGTACGCTAAAATTTCTCAAACAAGTTTCAAATTATCATTGATAAATGCGCAGTAACGTTAAAAATGACAATATGTATCACAGAAACAAGTAATTGCATGTATTTTCTTGAACTTTCCAACATATACTCAAAGCTTTATGTATAACAGAAAAGACATTCTTGTTGATCTTTGTATATGGGTAGCGCCAAAGTTTTTTTATTATTATTTTAAGCGGATCCGTTGATCAGATTTTCGTGATGCGATCATATTAATGTAATTTCTCTAAAGGTTTATAACAAAATCGATCCTACAAATTATATAAAAAGGTGATGTCCTGGTTAATGAATCCTTTTATCTGTCTTGTGCAAGAAAAGCAAAAATGAAACAAAAATTTAACTGTTCAGGTCTTACCATTATTTACAGTACATCATCAATATCATTTATCAAATAAACTCATATATTTCGCAGAGCAATAATAAGGTAAGTTAGTTTATTATTCGACTAGAGTCTTGAAACATGTTATCATGACATTAATCGATTTTTCCGCCTCTGTAGATGTTCCAAAATAAAACGGACGTCTTGTTATATATCGGCATTTTGATCCTCGCTAAGAAAATCTTTGACAATCATCACGCGTATAATAGATGCAGTGAAATTATTCACATGAATCTCTTCACATGCAAAGGCACAGCAAACGTTTTGTGCAATACATTAAAAAATAATATTTGGCGCAGTATCATCCTGATGATAAAAAAATTGTCAAATTTCTTAAAAATTAAGGCAGATTGAATATTCTGAAAATGAGGCATAACAGTAAGTGTGAATCAGTAATATTACATTACTTTTTTGCTAATCTCTCGATTTATGCTGTAGATTCGAAATTATTCAATCTTGGGAAACTTCTCTTGCGGAAATTAGCTAAGATCAAAAATCTCTATATAATCTGTGTGAGTAGGAGTGATTTATATTAGCAGGATCTTGTAAACATAGTAAAAAATAATAAACTTTCACCTATAATCAGTTTTGGATCTTTAACATGTATAATTCTTTTGTATTGCTCAGACCCTGTCAGGATGCGAGAATTCTGGGAGGATTACATCACTCACCCTCAGCTGAGTTACCACTGGTTGTAGCAGAACTGCTAGAAATGGCCCAACCTGACTGAGTTGAATTCTCACAAATTTCGAGGCTTTGAAAAAGTATGAAGTACAATGTAAAATGAATATTTAATTCTCAAATGTATTAAAAAAAAAACCTTAAATCCTTTACTGATCTTTGCGTGTATCAAAACTTACTAAAGTAGTGAAACTCTAGGAGGATTACATCGCTCCTTCAGCCGAATTGCCACTGGTCATAGCAAAACTAGAAATAGCCCAACTCAACAGAGTTAAGATTCACCACACAGCCTTCCAGCTTAGTAAAGAATACAAACATAGAAATGATCTTGCAGTATTCATTTGCCGAATATCTGGTATCAAGACTCTGGAAGGATTACATCACTCCCTCTCAACCGAGTTGCCACTGGTCGTAGCAGAACTGCTAGAAATGGCCCAACTCGATGGAGCTGAAAATTGTCATCAAGCAGGAATTGTAGGACGCGCACTATAAATTGAAAAAAAAATTCTCGTATTATGATGTTTACCAATTTGATTGGTTTAGATGTCAATGCGTTAGTCTCTCCAGTAACAAATATGACTGAAATTCCAATTTTAAAACAAAAGAGAACGTATAGAGTGCCTGAACAATCTGGTTACCATAGCTTCTTTAAAGTAACTAATGTTTGGATGTGGATTTTCTCTAAATTTGTTGCGTTCTTAATCGACACTAATGATGATGATGCAAATCCTAGTTCTGCAGTAAATGTATGGCTGGTAAATATTTCAAAACTAACACGCGATGCTTCCGTTCCTCCATCTATTCGAAAATTTACTTCTGAATTATTAATATTTTATCTTGATCTAACAGGCGAACAATGATTGCAAAATGATCTAAAGCGCACTCAGAAGTCTCGAAGAACTTTCTGCCTTCAGGCTCGTATTTGAGCCCAAAATTGCACTAGCAAAACAAATTGCTAGAGCATCCGAAGAACTTTGTTCTACCGCCACATCTGGAAAGCGTGATCGGGTATTTGCTTCTTACATGATGTATGAAAAACCGTGTCCTAAAGTTCAAAAGGTTGATCACAATGTCCTATACGACCCCATAGATGAATCTTTTTCTGGTCCATCTACATCAGGTGGCCTTTCCAATGCTTCAGATCTCTCTAGCTCTGAAATCAATTTCAGTGTGCTTAGTAACACCTCAATTAATAAAGACGAGCAAATATCATCATCATCTAATGAAACAAGCGAACGGAATAATGATGAGACGAGCCTGTCAAAAATGAAACAAAAAGAAGTAAGCAATGAATAGAAAAGAAGAACGAGCGAACAATTAACAGAAGACTTAATGGATGAGTCAATAGAAGAAATGAAAGAATTGAATCTTTTATTTGATGAGTCATACGAAAATGATTTAGTTAAATCCATCGACGAATCGAGTTTAGGAAAAGAAATATCGTTACCCGTTTCAAAAAAGAAAATTGATGTAAGTTTTCTTATTATAGTTGAGATCTATAATTGATTTTTAGCATACTAATTCAATGATATTAATAGGTTTCAAAACAAGATAATTTTTGGCAAGGCATTTTAAAGAAGTTTGTGAGATATCAAAACAAGATTCCCAAGACACGCAAAATTATAACATAAGTTTTGATATTATGATTTTAGTTTTATTACGTTCTAAATATTTGCTAAGCTTAAATTTTGCTTGATACATAATAGATTGGGTTATTGGGACATTTTCAACTTAACACAAGAGAGTGTGCAGAATTCTCTCAGAGCGAAATTAACCAAATATCACAAGATTTTTCTGATCGCGTTCGTTGGTCCCCAAAACTGGCTCCTAAATATCTCCAAAGATATTTTGAATCGAACTGTGATCCTTCTAAGGTTGTGGATATCGAGGATTATGCAATGTTTGAAAATCTCCACACTAATATTCAATATGCGTAAGAATTAGCTCTTTAGTTATTTGTGCGAGGTTCTCTGATATTATCTAACATTTTTTTTCTTTTACCAGGATATATCACTCTACAAAGAGAACTAAGACAGAGGAGTCACTAAAATTTACAACGATGTACCCTCTGTTTAATGGAGTTGTGGATCGATCATTAGTTAATGATATATGGTAGGTCACTGTGTGTTTGATTATGTATAAATAATATTAAAAAATATGCTTTTCTGCATATAGGGGTGAGGTTCAGGTGCTTAGCTCCAAAGAGGCAAGGAATGAAGATATAAATCCATTCATTAAGTCTCGCATGGGAAGAAAAGTAGACATGAAGGGGGTATTAATTAGGACACCAAATAAATAAATTTGAAGCATTATATGGAGAAGTGGCAAATGGGCTTTCCTCAATTGGAATCTCGCTTGCTTCACCAAAAAAAAATAAGGTGAAATTCGCTGTATTAATGTGAGATTCACTCAATCGTGTTCTTAAGGACTTGAAATATCTTCACGATGATCAAAGAAAAACAATTATTGTATACGGCTGGATACTTGCAGGTATTCTAACAATATTCTAACAAATACTCTAACAAATATTTTATGTGTAAACTATTTATTATATAACTGATGCAATCTTATCAATATAGGTTTGGATTTGTCCCTATATGCTATGAATTAAGCCGAAAATAGCATATATCATTTTGGACAAATAGATTATTGTTCATTTCTGTCAAATAAAAAAAGTTCTGCATTATATGAAGGTGTCTATTGTCTTTTAAAGGAATTGGAGGTATGCGATTTGATCTTATCCTATCTTTATAATTAATTTGCAAATTTTCAATTTATCTGTTTTATGTAGAGGAAGTTATTTGAAACAGAAGCACTTATCCAAGAATTACATTTGGAGAATATGCGTGGAAAGTGTAGACGAACAACTATCAAGAATAGTCCAGATCTCAATCTTAAAAGAACTTCTAATTGATTACAAATTATCTTTTTCTAATCATCTTTTGCTTTTTATCACATACAACTGATTTGTATGACCACCTTTAGTGCCATAAAAAAAGAAAACAAATAAAAGAATCTGTCCTTTATCTTCACCTCATAATTTCTGTTGTTTTTACGTGAAGTGTGAATGAAATGATAGTATACATTGATTTGACAGATCACTTAATTACTTTGCACTGCATTTCTTTTTTTCGAATCCACACCACTGTATCATGTGATTGTATATAACCACAGTCATTATTTTTAGAGGATCTATTAATAATCCCGGCCAAGAAAAATAATTTTGTATTGCTCTCGTGATACACTTTCTCTAAAGTTCTATCTCACTCATTACGCAATTCTGAATTACTAATAAAAAATCACATTCCTGATTTACATTTTGCAGATTGTAAGACGGGGCGTCGTTAAAAAGAAATTCAAAAATGGAAATACAGAGGGTGATCATGAGTACCTGAACGATAAGTATTTTTTGTTTATTCGTTTTGTTTACATGTTTACATATATTTCTAATTTAAGCATTTGTTTAGGAT